CCCCCCCGAGTGCACAAATTTTTGTGCACCGGGCCTATATATAATATATATTTGGTAACAAGGAGTATGATGGTAGGAGGAATAACACACACTTATTTCAATAATCTAGATGAGAGGTAATGAGGGTCCTGAACTAGGAAGGAGAAGAAGGATAACTCACTAGAAGCAACAGATAGAAGATTCTGTAGGACTGAAATTATGAGATGTGAGGAAGGAGCCAATAATAACTGAGTTTCTGACTTCAGGAAAAAAAGAAACAATATTAGTAGTTACTGAAAAATGGGTAAATTGGGAGAGGGATTTTGTGAATATGATGAATTTGAAGAGGAAGTAATACATACTCATGATGCCTAGCTGAGAAGACCAGCAAATACCTAGAAACACAGGGCTGGAGGGAGAGGGTGCGGGGAGCCAGAGAAATATATAGTGACCAGCCGTGCACACAGGCAGATGAAGCTACTAAGAGCTAAGAATGGATCTCTAAAGCTAAGAATGGATCTCTAAAGCAGATGGTGAAGAGAACATAGGAAGTTTGAACTTTCTGACAGAACTATACTTCAAACAATCAACGAATCTGCAAATCATTCTTTTTTTTAAAAAAGCTCATTACAATTATTTTATTTGGATCATCACCTTTTGATGAAATCCCAGCTTAAAGAAGGTCCTTGGCCTTCCCACAATCCACCTCCTTTACCCTCTCTAAGAGGCCCAATTCTGTAATGTTACATTCTCCCTTCTCATACTTTGCAACACCTTCTCCAATTTTTCAATGTTTCAAGACTGAACTAGACCTTGAATTCACAATTAAAGGTCTGGCTGTTATACTTTATAAAGTATGATAGAAAAGTAGGTTCTGTAAGTAGCATATGAACTTACTAGTAGGTTAGCCAGTCAACAAATACTTAAGGATTTACCATGGTTCAAGCATTGTTCCTATTTTGAAAAATCTTGCTTTATTCAAAAAATGAAAACCAAAAAAAACAAAAAAAAAACAAAAAACCAGCATGAAAAGACTTCTGAATTGTGAGCAGCCTAAACCCCATAAACCTGAGGTCTTTGTTATGGCTGAATTCACATGCCATAGCCTATAATACAATTAGTACCATGGTTTTAATCGAATAGTTTCACACTATTTATAGAAGCCTCATTTAAGCAGAGTTGAGAGAGAAAGTCCATTTTGGCTTATGTTGAAATTAAACTATGTTGTCATTCCAATTACATACTGAGTGGAACCCTTGCTAATTCACCAGAAGAGACGAGAGCACCCAATGTGAATTATCAAATAAATGCTATTTTATTCATTAGTTTAGAACATGCATTTAATTATAATTTTTTATAATACCTAGCAATTCATTTTGTAAAACTAATTAGGACAGAGATGCTCAACTCTTAAAGTCTTTCTGGGGAAGGGCAGTTACTCTGTGTGTGTGTGTGTGTGTGTGTGTGTGTGTGTGTGTGTATGTGTGGGGTGGGGGAGACCTTAGGTGATTTATTCTGTTTTACTAGTGTCCTGGTGCACGGATCCGTGCACACTGAAAGGAAATTAATTAGAAGAAATATTTTAATAGCGCTATTCGCCCTTTCTCTATAATAGAAGTGTCAACCAAATTCACGATCGACAATGACAGACTGAAACACGCACGTGTGCGATTGGTGCCAGCGAGAGCTTTAAATGTATCTTACAAGCGTGAGTCAGCTTAGCCTTTTATATATATAGATAAACTTGCTTAATTAGACTGGCTTTCTGATTTAGCTAAACTTCTTCCAGCCCAGTGAAGCACCCCAACTTCTCTTTCAGGTAATTGTCAGCAACACAGCAGTAAATATCAACATGAAGCAGATTATTGTAGATCACACAGGGAGAACAAAGGGTAAAATATTTAATTGCAGCAGTGTTTGACTATATTCTGTGCAGTGAGAAAACCTGAAGTCATTTTCAAGTTCCACCATTTCTTACTTCTTTTTAGTAGGGTCACATTTCTAAGCTTTCTAAATCTCCATTTTCCAGCTAATGAAAAGAAAATAGGATTCCACCAAGTCTCCTATCTACCTACTCCAGGACTTCTGTAAGGATCAAATGAGATGAGGCATGGGAAACGCTTCACAGGCATGTGGTTAAAGAGTAAAATGTTTCCACCTGGCTATAAAGCAAGTCGTGTTCCTGGGCTGAAGAAACTGCAAGGAGGCTAACCGCTAGGGAGAGGAAGCCGGGCATTGCTACATGATGTCATTACCTGGACGGACACTTAGCATATTAGCCTTTTATATATATATAAATGTTCTAGCACAAAATATAGTTTTTCTGTTGAAAAGTATGCACAACACAAAGTTTCACAATTTTGTATCTTATAATCTGAAGAGTCACATAATCATTATAATCATTTCTTCTGTAAACATCTATAATAAAAGTATATTATCTCTATATGTGTAAATGAATGTGAATGTATGCCTTGATGCTGTTATAGAAAGACATAGCAATAACAGGAATGCAGAGTTTAATGTACTCAATCTAAACTTCTTTGGCCATTTCTGCACCCTACAATATGAGGTTGAAAAACTGGTAAAACCCTGGGGCAAAGTTAAACAGAAAATAATACTGCAGTTGAGTGAATAGCTACTGTGTATCAAACATGGTACTAAACATGTAACATATTGTCTTATTTCATCCTCACATCCTCCTTGTTTGGTGATGCAAGCCCTAGTTTACAGATAAGCCAACTGAAGCTCACAAAGTTAAGAAACTGAATGAAGTCACTCTCTTCACAGTTGTCAATTGGCAGAGTCAGAATCGAACTTGCATCTGCCTCACTCCAGAACCCATACTCTGAGGACCATCCCACATTCTCTTTGGGATTCCTGGTATCATCTGCCAATTACATTAGTTGTGACTCTTATCACTCCTAGGAACAAAATTTCTCAACCATCCTCCAACCCATCAACCCTTCTAAAAGGCTTTCACAATGTTTATAATACTGGGAGTCAAGACTGGGGGAAGGAAGGGAGCCTCTGGGCAGCAGCTGAGAGAAGCACCACCTCATCTGCTCTGGTGGTTTTACTATAGCTGCGGGTGCAACTGCTGTTTAAGCAGTGACGGCAGAACCTGAACACGGGATGATGCCTCTTCCCTAAGGGACTCCTCCATCCCCATAGCTTCATATAGAACTCATAGGTATTTGAGTTATTTGATTAATCCCTTGACCCTGTTATTTAGTCACTGCTTGCAATAGACCAAACTTTTCACCTTCAAATACATCAGAGTTCTTGATCAACAAGACTTGTCAGTAAACAACTATTTCCAGAACACACATAAGTACACAGAATTTTATGATAATTGATTATACCTTCAACTCTCAAGGAACTTGAAGTCTAATTTGTCTTGCCTCCCTTATTAATCAGTCAAATATTTACTGAGCAACTTGACTACAGAGCCAGCACGTGTCTGATCCAACAGAAAAGCGTCTGTAAAGCAGTAAATTACAGAAAGAAGAACCAAGAGTTTGATGTATCAGGTGGAAAGTGAAGAAAAGGATTATGGTCAGGAATGATTAACACTGAGGGGCAGGCAACTTGGGGAGAGAAAGAGAACACATAGGAAACAAAAATGTGACCAGTCCCTGAGTGTATACTTAGTAAATAACTAAGCAATGGGAGGTCAGAAAAGGGAGAGATTGGCACATATTTTCTTCCATCCATCCATCCATCCATCCATCCATCCATCCATCCAATAGGTATAAATTGTGATCAACAACTATGAACCAGGTACCATTCTAGGCACTTCTGTAACTGAACAGCCAAGAGCTCTTCTGCTCTGTTATCATGGAACTTATATTCAAGTGGGGAGAGACAGATAATGGCTATAGGCAAGTATGAAAAAGGCAAGGAACAGAAAAGAAGGACGGGGAGAAAAGGCAAGGAGGATGCTATTTTAGATAGGGTTGTTAAGGCTGAACACTCAAAGTGACACCTTAGTATAGACCTGAAGTGAGACAATAGGCCACAGAAGACCTGAATGTGCATGAAGGACCAGAGAGAGCAAATGTCCCAAGGTAGGCAATCCAGTAGGGAAGCCTCTGTGTGAAGGGGATTTAGCTGCTACTAAGGGCCAAGTTATGAAAGCAGAGGGCAGGTGAGAAAGCAGTAGTGATTGGGGAAGCAGCATTTATATGGTGTGTAAAGGTGACAGACAGGATGCCAGTGGAAAGAGCAATGAGGATAGAAAGCACATGTGACTAATAAGGTAGGGAGGGCCTGAGGGTACACTTCCCAAAAGAGAGGAAGGAGAGAGGAAGCGAGCTGGGATTTTAAAGGAAAAGCCAGTGTTATTTTATAGTAAATGCTTTGTATCTGGGAAGATGAAGCCAAATAGCAGAGAGACCTGTCTACGGTTATATTAACTGAAAGTTACACTGGATTGAAATGAAGGATGTGGAATGAGATATGGCAAGATTGGAATGTTCAAGAAGAGGCTGGAACAATGATGTGTACAGGTTTCGCATTCATGACTCAAGGGGGCTGTGAATACAGGGACTCCAAATACCCAGCTCCCAAGACAAGAAGCCAGCTGACAACAGAGCAAGCCACCTTTTCCGGAAACACAATTGAGCATAAAACCACACTTCTTTCTTTTCAGCCGTTAAAGTCTGGCATGTCTTTTCCCAACATGCTCAAATTTTGAGCATCCAGGTTTACATATGAGACTTTTTTTTTAAGGCAACAAAAGAATTGCCTCGAAAACAGTAACAGACGTAGAGAAAACCTGATTGCTGGAGATGCCTCAGCAATTTGCATTTTCATATTAGCAGCTCAAGATTTTAAATTGAAAACACAAACCCCACCTCATTACCTCTTTCCTTATGCTAAGAGAAAATGGAAAATACTTTGCACAGAAAAAAATGCAAGCCGCGGGAACTGCCCTACACTGTCTAGCAGTGCCCAAAGTTTAAAGGGCCAGCAGAGCCCAGGGCCTGGCGCATGGTGAGGTGGGGGACAGAGATACTCACGGTTTTCCTCCTGGAATGCCTGTCAGGTTTGGAGGTATTGCTGGCACACGCATGTGATGGTGTGGATCAAATCCAACCTACATTTTTTTTTGCAAGAAAAATAATAAAAACAGACAGTTACATTTACTCATTTCATCTTAATATCTTTTCTAAAACCTGGGAGAACAGATTCTTTAAAAATAACATTTTAGAAACATATATGGAATTATCTATTTATTGATGAAATGATGGGATGTGTATGATTTCAAGGTAACATAATTGGGAGTGGCATATACTTAAAAATATACTGCTAATTATTCATGCTTATGAAGGAAAGGAAGCACTCACAAAATTATTAAACTACTTGTTGTACTTTGGTACATTTAAAAAATTTTTAAATGGAATATAAATTAAAAAAAGAAATTCCCTCAAGAGAAAATGGATCTCATGATATAATTACGTATAGTTTAATTTATAAATACACACTATAAATAACTCAAATTATACAGACCGCATTAAAAGAACATGCATGAACAATCCTCTGTGCTCTGAAATGTTTATTTTGTAAAAAACCCTCAGACGTACCACTGGTGATCTCCCATAGGCAGCGGCTGCGGCGGCGGCAGCAGCAGCAGCACTCATCTGCGGGGAGATGTTGTGCAGCCCTGCATAGGCGGCTCCAGGGCTGGTCAGCTCCCCATTCATCCCAGCATGGGGCACGATCCCAAACGGGGTTGGATATGGACAAGGAACTGCCATTGGGGTCCTTAGGCTTGAAGCTACAGGCAAGGACGGAGGAGGAAAGAGAAAAACAAAGAACACAGGTAACAATAATGAAGACATTCTTATATACATTAAAAATAGGATCAATGATTCAAATAAGCTTATTTTTATATTCTCAAAAATCATTCAGGCCTTCATCAGAGTTCGTTCATTCACTCTATTTTACTAAACATCTACTATGTGCCAGACATAGTAGGTACATCATGCCTGGTCGGGTTAAATAACTTAGTCAAACAGCCAATAAATGCTGGTTATTAATACTCTTAAAGAACTGTACTCTTTAAACTGCTTTAATTTCTGTAAAAAACAAGCAACATATAAATATGGAGAAAACTTTTTTTTTACTAACCCAAGGGGTCGACACCTGGTGGTTTTCCAGGTACAGGCCTCAATCCAGGAGTGGAATTACTGCCTGGGGTGGGTGCATCGGTTCGTGGAGTAGGGGTATTGGACTTTGAAACAGGAGTAGTAGATTTTTCATTCTAACAAGAGATGCAATAAGATACACTGGCAATGAGAACACAGTTTTAAGAATGATGTTTAAAAACAATGATGTTTTACATTTTAAAAGGTAAAGAAAAAAGAAAAACAGGAAAAGGTTCTTCAGTTTGGGCCTTTATTTTCATTAATTAAAGAAAGCTAAAAAGAGTCCCCCGAGACCACAAAACCAATGTTCAGGAGAACATACAAGGAAGCTGAATTTACTAGAGTAAAGTAGACCACTTCCAGAAAACCGGTGAGTGTCCTATGGAGGCGGACAGGTCATGCGTTCTATGACAGCCACTTGCTGGTGGCTTTAATATTGAATGGTTTGAGTTGGGCTCCTGGTGGACAGTTTAAGTCACTGGGACTTCCGGGTTAACAGATCCCATTAGAAAAGATCCAAGCCTGAATCATCATACAGATCAGCACAGAGGAGTTGTCATTACTAAAAGGCAAAAAGGCCCGAGAAACAAACAAACAAAAAAATTAATCTAGTGCCCTAACCGGTTTGGCTCAGCGGATAGAGCGTCGGCCTGGGGACTGAAGGGTCCCAGGTTCGATTCCAGTCAAGGGCATGTACCCGGGTTGCGGGCACATCCCCAGTAGGGGGCGTGCAAGAGGCAGCTGAATCGATGTTTCTCTCATCGATGTTTCTAACTATCTCTCTCCCTCTCCCTTCCTCTCTATAAAAAATCAATAAAATATATTTTAAAAAAATTAATCTAGCTCTCGGTCAGACATACTCCATTAATTTGCAGAAAAACTGATGAATTTTCTTTCTTTTAGCAGTGATTTCAAAAGGTTACTTAAAAACTAAATTTGTATTTTTGTTGTTGTTGTTAATGTTATGTTACAAGGAAATAACAGGTGAGGAAAAAGGAGGGCGCCACAAAAAACAAAATTAACTGCATAGCCACAGAAGGGGTTATGAGGAGATCACCCTGACTTGCGAGCAGTTACATTTGCATTTCTGATTTGTAGTGAGTGTCAAGGTGGATTTTTTTTAAATGAGAGAATATTTTTTAGATAGAAAAGGAAAATTACTGCAGTCATATATAGCGTGTAATTCAACCCAAAACTAGCAACAAAATCAACATCCATGCCAAAAACTAAATTGCCCATAGACACAGGTGCTAATCTATCGCTGTGACCCACTATGTTTTTCTCCATCTCACTAAGACATGTTTTACTCAATGTCCCCACCTCCCCCCTCTCGCCTGGCAGAAAGACTCACAAGACAAACATCCATCACTGACAAGTCGGTAAACCCATCTGTTCCCAAAAATGCTTGTCAAATTAAACTTGAAATGCTGAACATATACATACATTTGGAAATAAATGTCCTATAGAAAAATGTGAAAAGAAAAAAAAAGGTCAAACCCAACCATCCTGAAACAGCAATACTGAGAAAGATGGTGAACTGCTTACAAGGCTAAGTTCTTTGGATTTGGAGGAAGGAGTACTGCTGGAGGATGCAATTGAGGCTGGGCTGATGGGGGCATCTTTCTTGAGCAGGCGAGTCTTGTCCAGGCCATTCTCTCTGGGGGAATGTGCTGGGCTCCCTCGAGGGGAAGACGGATCCTACAAAGTAACATCTCGGGTATTAATGCAGCATGGAACATTCACAATGCTGAGCACGTGGGTGTGGACGTTTCTAACTGTTATGTATTTAATAGCTTAGAAGCGCAAAATGTTCTGGAATAGGTAAGAGTCACCAAATCACTGAAGAAAATATTCAGTATCGAGGTCAAAGAAAATACTACAAATTTACAGTATTTATTTAAAACAAAAATCCAAACTCTAAAAATTGGCAAGTCACTTGTCAATAAGATCTATAGGCTAACTCAGAGGTCTGGTATGCATTTGTGGTGGTAGCAAAACTCACTTGCACATCACAGAAAATAATTGCAATAACAAAGATCGGTACCATAGAAAGTCAGTATTACACAAATTTTCCAGGTAACTATAAAGCAGGTCCTTTTAGAAATTAAGAAAACATTGTGGATACCAATTTTTAGGACACTAGTCATTGTTAAAGCTGGGTAAAAATAGGAAGTTAAACGAGCCGTAAACATACCTCATTGGAGACGTCAACCACCAAGTTGTCATCACTCTTCTCACCATCGCTGTCCTGTATTGACAAGTGACAAGTATTATCTCCTCCCCCAGTTTAAAAAAAAAAAAAAATCACAGAAGTTAAGTCCAGACTAACTGGTCATGTCTTATAAAAATGAACTGTACCAAACGATCAAACCATGCTAAACACTCTACAGTGTACTATGTCCTTTAATCCTCATGCCGGAAGCTCTGAGGTAGGTAATATGATGATTCCATTCTACAGTTTGAAAAATTGAAGCTTATAGCTTCCTTGTTACCCTATAGTATCAGCAGCAAACTGGCACACCCACACTGAATCTGCCTACACATGGGTGTGATGTGTTTGTTCTGTTAGTGTTTTTTTAAAATCCGGGTGTAAGTAGCCATAATTTTAAAATTGGCAGTTTTCACATGAAAATCCTCATTTTCAGCCTACACTCCCCACCCCACCCCCGGTCCGCCCTTCAGGCCTGCAGTCCTGCTAGGCATCATCACAGGAGGTAGAGTGGGGACTGCTTGCCTCCATCCCCATCCCATCCAGCTTGCTCCCTTTACTACGCGACCTAAAGAACCAGTCACTGAAGAAAAATGAGTGTCAACCAACGCCAGGGACATACTGGATGTCTCTGCAAGTCCGAGACCATAGGCTTTCTGTACTCCTCAGCACAGGAGGTCATCTAAACATTGTAACAGGTTTCCTATGATTTTGTATTTTTCTTTCACATTTCTAGCTGACCACAAAAAATTCAGCCACCTGAAAATATATGGAGGGAAACAAATACATCTATAGAAATAATAATATAGAACACCCAACTTTTCTATTAGTTGCCAGATAAAGCACTCTGTTCTCGACACATACATGTGTGCACTACAGGACTTCGGGCTAATCAGTTAAGACAAAACTTTGACTGCAATAAATTTTCCTCCTTCTTAGGATGTTGTTATCCTGTATTCTAGTTTTGGCTGGTAACAGTTAAAGAATAACATGGCTACTGATAAAAAGCAAGGTAAACTGGCCTCCCCCAAAGCAAAGGTGAATGAACCTACATAACGAGCTGCAATTTCCTTTTCTTCAGTTTTCTGCTTTTTGCTATCAGAGGAGTAGTCTGTGGAGTTTCTGTGCTTCTCAGCACCTCGGAAACTGGCTGACGGAGATACTGAAGAGCTCTGAAATCAGAAAGGGAAGCAAGGTTGAGAGACTATCAGCCATTTAACAGTGTGTTGTTGTTTTTTTAATTTTATTTTTTTTCTTTATTGATTAAGGTATTACATATGTGTCCTTATCCCCCCGGCTCGTGCCCTCACCCCACTAGTGTCTGTGTCCATTGGGTATTGCTTATATGCATGCATACAAGTCCTTTATCATTTTGAGACTTTATCTCCTTTTTGTTCATTAGTACACACTTGCAAAGCTGGTATCAAGAAATAGAAGAGAGAAGGAAGTGAAAAAGAAAACAGATATAGAGAGAAAAACAAGGAGAAAAAGAAGAAAGAGAAGAGGAGCAGGAAAAAAGGAAAAAACAAGACAGAATCAGAGATGAGACAGAGGGAACAGAGGAATTAAAAGGAGGCAGGGAATAGCGCAAACTCCAAAGACAGAGAATGGCTTTGTCTAAATGAGTTGCTAATATTAAACTATTAAAGGAGCTTTAGAGAACTGAGAAAGGAGGTAAATACAAGAGAAAAAGTAAGGAAGAAGAGGCAGGCTTCTTTTTTTGAAGTTGGCTGGTTAATGGGAAGTCAGTATTTTAAGGCTCTACAGAGAAACTGAATAATTTAGAGGTCAACTTGAGAGATACTTAGTAGTTCCTCAATGAGAAAACGAGGAGAGGTACTCTTTGGGGATTGAAGCATCCTAATATGATGATCATGTGCACAATTTACAGAATTTTGCTTCATCCCACACCTTAAGGGCTTGGGAGGTGCAGTGACAGATTAAAACAAAACAATAAAACCTACACCTACAAAAATACACTTTATTCCTTTCTGACTCCTGGAGCTAGTATAACCCCACTCTTTTTTCTCTCTGGAATCCTAGGTACCCCATTAGGCTCAGGGAGTGGAGGAAGGTGGTCCCTCCTTCGTCGGGATCAAGGTCAGGGGCAATCTGTATGAGCTCATGTCACCTCTGTCATCTCTGCTCTTTCAAAGAGCTCTTAACCTGAGGAGTTCCATACACAGAAAACAAATACCACAGACAAGATCTGAAGCACAGCGAATGAATGAGTCTGTCTGCCATTAAGGCCAAGTGGTTACTGGGCACATCTAGATGGTTTGAGAGCTTAAACCCATAGATGAAGAAGTAAAGAAAGCACTGATAAAAACTGGAACTAACCTTAAGAACTAAGTGGCTAGTGGCTCAGTTTCAGAAAGACCTCCATAAAGGTGAGGTGTAAGAGAAGGCTCAGGGCTGAGTGCAGGGCTAACCAGCTGAGGGAGGACTGAAAACGCCTGAGAAGCCAGTCCCTTAGTAGGCACCAGCGCAAGACTCCAAGTGCTAAATTAGCCCAACCTGAGGTCGCAAAGGGCTGATTTAAAGGGCAAGAATACTTGAAGATAAGAACAATAGTTCTAGGAAGAACAAAGAATCACCACAAGAATATCCTTGCCTGGCATCCAAATCAGTTCAGAAAATTGTTCAGTGAAGGTCTTCTATAAAATTAACTCCTTAGCAAAATAGCAGACATTTGTTGTAGCAAAATCTTTACCGACACAACTCCTAGGGCAATGGAAAGTAAGGAGAAAATAAACAAATGGGACTACATCAAAATAAAAAGCTTCTGCACAGCAAAAGAAACCATCAACAAAACAAGAAAGCCCACTGCATGGGAGAACATATTTGCCAATGTTATCTCTGATAAGGGTTTAATCTCCACAATTTATAGGGAACTCATACAACTTAACAAAAGGAAGATAAACAATCCAATCAAAAAATGAGCAAAGGACCTAAACAGACACTTTTTGAAAGAGGACATACAGAAGGCCAAGGGACATATGAAAACATGTTCAAAGTCACTAATCATCCTAGAGATGCAAATCAAAACAACCATGAGGTACCATCTCACACCTGTTAGAATAGCTGTCATCAACAAAAGACAAGTGCTGGAGAGGATACTGAGAAAAAGGAACCCTCTTGCACTGCTGGTGGGAATGCAGATTGGTGAAGCCACTGTGGAAAACAGTATGGTGTTTCCTCAAAAAATTAAAAATGGAACTGCCACTTGACCCAGTAATATCACTTCTAGGTATATATCCCAAGAAAACAGAAACACCAATCAGAAAGGATATATGCACCCCTATGTTCATAGCAGCACGATTTACAATAGCTAAGATTTGGAAACAGGCCTAAATTGCCCTACAGCAGATGAGTGGATTAGAAAATTGTGGTACATCTACACAATGGAATACTACGATGCTGTAAAAAAGAAGGAATTCTTACCATTTGCAACACCACATGGATGGAACTGGAGAGCATTATGCTAAGCGAAATAAGCCAGTCAGAGAAAGATAAATATCACATGATCTCACTCATTTATGGAATATAATGAACATCATAAACTGATGAACAGAAATAGATACAGAGACAAAGAAGCATCGAACAGACTGTCAAACTACAGCAGGAAGGCAGGGAAGGGTTGGGGAGGGGGGGGCGTAAGAGATCAACCAAAGGACTTGTATACATGCATATAAGGATAGCCAATGGACACAGACACTGGGGGGTGAGGGAGGCAAGGTGTAAAGGCATGTGCGGGGGAGGGGGATAGAGAAGGCTGGAGGGAGGTCAATGGGGGAAAAAGGAGACATGTGTACTACTATTTGTAATACTTTAAACAAACAAATAAATAAATAAAAATAATAAAATTAACTCCTGTACTTTTTTCCCTTTATCTTAGTTTGCTAGTAATAATGAACACATATAAAGATACACAAAATTTCCAAGGACATTTTAACTAACTATGGAAGGCAGTGTGATAACCAGAACTTTGGGCTCTATATTCTGTTTTACTTCCATTGTACCATGATGCCACATTCTCCTTTCTGGCTAAACTTTCAAGCATGTTGTTAGAGGAAAACCAATAAACTTTTTCCTCACCCGGGCTGGTGTAGTTACCATGAGATCACTCCCTAGTGGTCATCTGTAGTGATGACAACTCCACCACCAGCTCCAAAGGCAGGGATATAAGGTGGGAGTTTAGAGTAGAACCATGAGAATGACCAGTGAGTGGGTTCCCACTGATAGGGGCTGGATATTTCTAAATTCTTCCTTCCTGTACCAATTCCTCTCAAGGTTTTTTATGAATACTCTTCACGCATGCACCAAAACCTGTAATTATCCATATCAAACATTCATCCTTAAGCTTAGTGGCAGAAAAGATGGCAGGCATTATTTAGTAAGGAGGAAGACTAAAACATTAGAAGCCAAACGGTGTTAAAAGTGGATTGCTTCTTGACGATCATATATCTCCACTGAGTCCTCCATCCCAAGATATAAGACTTGGTTCAATGCTTCTGCTTTGCTTTCACACCATGGCCCAATGAACTCAGGTTTTTATCACCATCGCTCCACTGAAATCATGCACACAACCATCATCTGTGAGTTACCACAGTTAATGCCAGAGCCCCTTATCTAGTTCCTCCCCTCTCCAGTCTATCCTCTACATTTCCGAGACTCATACTTCCCAGATATTTAACAAACTGAATCCCTAAAAAATCAACAAGTGGTTTCCCACCATCCAAATATCTGAGCAGAGTTTCTTTTCTAAAGGCCTTCACTTCTTGCTCCGATGCAGGGTCCTGGCTTCTCTCAGCATTATGAGCTTACCTAGTATTGTTCCCCCATTCTCCGTGTATTTATATTGCATCTGTAGCCTTTTTGCCAGGCTCCCGAGAATGCCCTTTCCCTCAACATCGTTTGAAATTTCCTCATTCTTAAGAACCAGCTCTACTATCACTTTTCAAAGCTCCTTCAGACACTGGTAGGTAGAATTACTCACTCATTCCTCTGTCCCCTTAACATTTTGTTCACCCAAGGAACAGAGCCCTGATAATCAATTTATGGCTATTTGTTTGCAAGGCCACTTCCCACTCCAGCTGTAGGATCCTGGGGGCAGGGGAACCTGGCATAGGGAGCGGCACAGAACTGCCCAGAAATGTTGTTGAACATAAATGACAAAACATCCCCTCTGCAATTCCTTAAAATCTTAATCCCAAATTCCTATGATACATTTTCCTTCAGATTGGCCTCTAGGCTGAACAATTCCACGGGAAACCATTCGCTACAGTAAGATCTGAGTAGTGATGCCCCTTGGAACTGGCAATATGGAATGTCTGTCTCTTCTTCACCTTTACTCCTTCACTACTTCTACAATCGATTTTAGCCAAAAGACCGAGAAGTGATAACCTACGTCTAAATACCTTAATCCTACTAATTTGATATTTTAAAAAAATTAATGTACATATGTATGATTAATAACTATCTGAATATTTTGATTCTGATATACTTTATTAAAAGTTATTTCCATTCTATCCAAAAGGACAAATTGATTTGTAAATAATGATTAAGTACTTTCTTAAAAATTAATACTAAATAATGCTTATTTAGATTTTTATGCTTATTTATTGGCACACATATACAAAGAGCAATATTTTATTTGTGAATTTTACTGTAGATCAGAGGTACATGTTGGAGTTTCCTGGTAGAACAATAAAGTAGTTAATTATCACTAGCATTTAAAGGTTAAGCTGAACAATGGGCACTGGGGCAATAAGCGATGTTTAATAGCATGATTGCTCTGGAATCAAATTGGACTTGGCATGGACTCTCATGAATCTTACAAATCCACCATTCTGCCACTGAAGACCACCTCGGTCTTTGCTGGGCATGTGAACAGGAGGGATTAAATAAATGCCGATAAAACAGCATCTCACTTTTACAAGAAACGCTTACATTAATTTCTTTATTCTGATTTTAAAAGCTTAGCTCTTTCCCTCTCTTACTACATAAGAAACTACTGGAGCTGCATCATGATTCTGTAAAAATCTATACATCTAGAAACATTAAACATAAATATTTTCTTACTACAGTTTGATCATATAAATATACTAGCAAATTTGTTATGAACAGAAAGCCTGTGGCCAATCTAAAGAGGGCAAAATACCTTAAATGT